CCCCCTCTTTCCCCCCCCCCCCCCCCCCCCCCCGCAGTTGACAGCATCTTCACTTGGATAAAACCACCCTGAACTCATCCGTTTTCTCCCTTTATGCTGGGCAGGGTCGGGGGAGTGGGGAATTCAGCCCTTCCTGCCCCCGCCCCACCACCCGGCTTCCCGGGTTGCTTACAAAGTCTTTGTAGGTGTCAGCAGCCAGTTGGTGCAGGTGCTGGGCCCGGAGCACAGCGTTGGCAAACATGCTGGACAAGGACATGGTGGGGAAGGCACTCACTTCCTGGGGCCAGGGCAGGCAGAGGAGGGCAAAAGCCAGGAGCAGGGAGGTCCGGGGGCCTAGAGAGACATGGAGGCCGAGGGTGGGGTCCCAGAGAGCAGGGAGCCTAAGTCTCCAGCCAGGCCTCTCCCTGCCCCAGGGGCCTTCCTTTCTCCTCCACCGCCCCCCACCCCCAACCCCCAGGGACTGAGAACATTTTAAACTTGGCCAAATGTCTGGGCATGGATGTCTCATGCTCTCTTTTAGAATCCCCAAAGCCCAGGGTCAGTGCCCCATCCACCTATAGGGCTCCCGTATTGCCCCCCAGTACACAGCAAGCCCAGGGGGATTTTCGGGGTGCCTACCTGCAGCCATTACAGCCGGGTGAGTTGTCCACAGGTCCCTGAGCGGCTTGGGAGCTGGGTCCTAGGATCCTGGAATGGGTCCCTTGCGGACCCTTTTTATACCCTGGTCCCATCTCTCTCCCCCTCTGCCCCCACCTGCTTTTTCTATGCATTTATGTATAGGCCCACTGACAGGCCTCTGCTGATGGATAATTTAGAACCTCCTCCCACGCAGGCTGTTCCCGCTCCTCTCCTGGGGTCATGTCCCCAGGCTTTTCCCCTCTCCACCGTCACCAGCCACCTGAGGGTTGCTTACACAGGGTCTCACCTAGGGAGGTTACCAATCTGTCCTCTTTTTAGGAAGGGTGTGACAGAAGGGAGTCGTCTGAGTCCATGTAGGGTATTGCTGTGAAGTTGTCCACCAGGTGAGGAGGGTCCACCTGGTCCCCCAGAGGGGGGCTATGTCAGGATGACTGTGCCTGCAGAGCTGTGTCAGCCCTTCCTCGCTATAGTCCTGTCCTCTTCCTTTCAGTTCCCTCCACCCACCACAGAGAATGTGTGTGTTGGAAAAGGGATCAAGACAGCAATAGTTTGGGGGCGCAGTTCAGCCCAGATTCTACCTTGGCCTCTATCACCATCCTCAAGAAGACCATCTCACCTCCTGGTCCCTTGGACAGCTAGATGCAGTGCTAGTACTGACCACTAGAGGGCATTGGCCCGACACACTGCCCTCTCCTTTCTCTGGGTGTTGGGGCTCCCCCAGGTGGCTGGGCAAAGGACGGAAACTTTAGGTATGTGTGCTCCTTTGGACCTACCCAGAGATACAAACTAAGAAGCAGAAATCCAGGGAACAGACAGGTACCACAAGCACTTCCTCCCGCAGGCCTGTCACCATCAGGGAATCTCAAAGTTGGAAGAGAACTTGAGAGTCTGAGCCTTGTCCCCAGTGCTGGAACTCAGGGCACGGCACCCTGAAAGATGCTCTCTCCACTTATGGTAGTCTCCTCCATTCTGTCTTCGTTTAATATTTGTATGAAGCTTATCAGATTGTGAAGAGCATGTCTATGCCTTCTCACATCTGACCCTCATGACCGTCTTGTGAAGGAAGCATTATTATCGGCCCATTTTACAGAGGAGGAGACCGAGGTTCAGAGAGCACCTATACCTAAAGTTTGACTTGCACGAGCTACCTTGGCCAAGGCAGCAGATATCCAATATTGCATCATCCCAAGCCCCTTCTCCCAAGCTGACTGGGTGGGCACCACTGCTATTTTAACTTCACATCTCTCTGAACACAGGGATCCTGTCCCTAATCACGAGGGTCCCTTTGCCTCATTTTGTCCTCTCCTAAAGGGCAGATTGTTGTCCCTTATTTCCCAGGTGAGGATGGCCCAGAGACACAGGGTGCATGTTGGAGACCACACAGCAGGCAAGGCTAGGGCCGGGCAGGCTAGCACTGCTGCCTTCAGCCTCCTGCCACCCAGGGTCCTGGCTCTTTCAGCATCTGGAGGTTACCAGCATTAAATCGCCCCCAGGGATAGGAGGAGGAAAAAACACTTTCTCCTTCCTTTAAACCCTTTGCCCCTGAGTCTGAGGACATTTAGCACTTGACCTGTGGGAAAACAAACAAGCAAACCCTTGTAGAGGTGGTTGGTTATGCTGTTGACAAACAACATTGAGAAGTCACAGCCACAAGGTGAGTGCTTGCACCTTGCCACCTCCCCCTGGCAGGACCAGAAGGTAGAGCTCCCTTTCCCCCCATCCTTCCTGGTTGCCCAGCCATGCCCTGGGTTTACTATCTGCTAGGGAGGACTCGGGGGCCTGTGGGAGCTGTTCACGCAGGACTGTCAGGTCAGCCTGAGGGGGCAGCCAAACCAGAGGCTCTGAGGAAGGGGGAGGAGCCAGGTGGGCAGTGGAGGAGGGTCTCTGAGCTCTTCACGCCTTCTGCCTCCCCTGCCACTCCTTCCTCCCGCTACCTGGGGGAGGGCCACTGGTGTGGAACCCCTCATGACAGGCTTCTAGCTAATGCTGGGGAACTTCTATGTGAACTGTGCCCCATGGGAGAAAAGCCCAGGCCTCCTCCAGGTGTGAGGGCATACAGCTCAAGCTGGAGAGTGCGTGAGAGCCACCCCCGCATGGCACAATGAGGTGTGGCTGAGGCTCCCACCAGGCAGGTCACTGCCAAGAACAGAGGGGACTGGCCAGGACACGGAGCGTCTCCTCTCACCAAACCCACTTCTGTTGACCCCAGAGCTAGGTTGGCCCAGGGGACTCTGGGGACCTCCGGGGACACACCTTTACAGAAAGGTTACCATGGCGGCAACTATTGGACCCAAAGAGGGAAGAACTGAGGGGTGTGGGGTGGACATTGGTGATCCTCTCCTCTGGTCTGGACCTTTTCAGGGCCTTTAGTGATGGAGACCACAGACATGATTCATCGCTAGTAGAAGATAAACTCTGAATGAGACAGGATTTTCCCTTTGGTGCGGGGAGTCACCTACCCTTTCTTGGGGCACCACCTGGGGCCAGAGCCCTAGCTACTCCAGGTTCAGAGACTGCCCAACAACAGCCTCTGCATGGTGGCCAGTGGGGACGCTGTGCCCAGCATCCCTGAGGTCTACCTTGAAGGCTTGGACGAACCCCCCCATTATCTTGGAAACCATGAATTTCAGGGTGTTTCCCTTCATCTTTAAGATTTGGCCATCTCTGGGGATCTCTGTACCGACTGTGGGAGCTCTCATGTCTGTTCTTGATCCAAAAGTGGCCTCTTTCAGGCTTCAGGAGCCACTCCGAGGTTCAAGGCCGTGGGGTTTACAGCCATCTCATTGTTCCCAGTCACACTCGCCCTGAGCTTAGGCACAGCCTCAGAGGGACTGGTGGCAGCTCTTTCCGCTCCCCCTTGGTCACTGGAGACCCACACTTGCCACTGCTCACTCTGTCCTGCCTTCCTTGAGGCCAGTCTGGGATGATCCCTGGGGACAACTTGATCCTCTCTGCTTCCAGGGTGGGTCTGAACACCGTGCTCAGGGCATTTAGTCAAAGTCTTTAGAGAATATTATGTGGGGACTCCCATGGGCTTCTCCAGGGGACATGAGGAAGGAGATCAACATTTCTGAGTGCCCACCATGTGCCAGGCGCTGTCCTGGGTGGCAGAGGGGTGAGGCCCATTTCATAGAGGACACTCAGGCTCAGAGAGATTTGCCTGGAGTCTCCCACTCCTAAGTGATGGCTGCCCAGGTCCTGGTGTTCCCACTGCGCCAGCTCTTCAGAAGCTCATTTAGGAAAGACGGTGGGGCTGCCAGGCCAGGGCAGAACTTTCCGCAGCGCAAAGCTAGCGGGGCAGCGTCTAATCTCCGCACAGATGTTCAAGGCAGGTGGGGGCAAATGAACGCAAGGACCTGTAGCCCAGCATGAGGTCCATAGGCACTAAGAAAAGTGGCAGAAAAACAACCCGACGGAGCGTGATTGAATGAACCACGCCACATCATCCCTCACATGTGCATTGCACGTTTCAGTGTGCATTGAGTTTTCACTTCCCTTATCTCAGCGGACCCCGGGGGCTAGCCAGAGGGCTCAAGCATGGAGGATGGGTCATGGAGGGTGTTGTTTACAACTGGGTGAGGATCTCTGAGCAACCTGGAAGTGCACAGCAAGCTGCATAACTGGGCCTACTGAGTAATTTCCACTTGTTGGATTATTCTCCAGGGAGCCCGGCTGATAGGGAAAGAAGTAATAAGAACCAAGGTGTGTCCAGCAGCTGTGGGAAGCCTGGGGTGCTTTCCTGATCGGCGATCTCAGCTGGAAATAACTTCTGCCTCCTTTTAACCTTATTTTGTGGCTAAGTGTGGACATCTTATTCCCCTTATGGGACTGTAGGCACTTTGAGGTGAATTCATGCCATTCATTCATTCATTCATTCATTCATTCTCTTATTCATGTACAAACGGATTCAACAAGCAGTTGTTGCTCCTTCCATATGCCAGGCACTGTACCAGGCAGGTGGACATGCATGCATACCTAGATAACAAAAGACACGATCCTTTCTCTGCTGGAGTGTACAGTCTACGCTATGGGAAGAGAGACAAGAGCAAACAAATAAAGACATAATGGTAAAATCTATACAGACATTTCACATAGGGAAAACTGCCATGAAGGAAAGAGCCAAGACATAGGGGTGAGAGAACAGTCTGGGGGTGTGGGGGAAACTGCAGCTGGCACGGTCCCAGGCTCAGGAACTCAGCAAGCATCCGCTGCATGGATTGAATGGTTAGAAGGATGGTGCCATGGAAAGAGCTCAACTACCCACCCAGCCAGGAATGACAAGGCAGGTCACACTGTGCCTTGATGTCCTTCACATAGTACAGTGATTTAAATTAACGAGTAAAATAAAACCCCAAAAAACAAGTGCAGGATCTAGCAATGTACGGCAATACTCCCACGAAAACGTTTAATTGAAAAAACCAGACACAAGGCGGGCGTGCAGATGCTGATCCCAGTGCACACGCATGTTCTACACGGACTCACAACGTTCAGAACGTGAGCCCTAAGCGAGACCTAGTAAGGGGCCTGGCCCTCCCACTCGTGCCATGTGAGAAAGGGGTGTTAGGGCCCAGAGAAAAGTGTCTCTCTTTCTTTTTCTTCCTTGGAAATTTGCATTAGGATCCATCGAAATGTGTTTTCACAAGCCACTCTGAACTGGGGATTGAATGCTGGTTGCATTTCCCGGGAGAGCCTTCTGGGTTGGCGACGGCAGCCGGCTGAGGGGTTCCAAGTGGAAGGTTTGTGGTGCTGGTTGTTGTGTTTGTTTGCAGCTGAGTCCCCGGCAGGTCCCTAGGGGCCATCACCAGGTGCAGCGCGGACAGCAGGGACCGACTTGGGAAGGTCATTGTTGTGAGCCTGAACCAGCTACTGAGGTCATCTAAGCTGAGGTCATCTAAGGAGAGCCGAGCCCGCGGGCAGGATCCGGCGTCCCACGCCCTGTGCGGCGAGATGGCTTTTGAGGCCCTAAACAGAGGACCCCGCCGGGCTCGACACCTGCCCTGGGACCAACCCTACTTGCCAGTGACACCCGGACAGGGGCAGCTTTTCGCATTTTGTTTTGTTTTTCTCTCACCTCCAATCTGCTGGAAAAACACCCAAGCCCTCGGTCAGAGGGGCCCAGGCCTCGCAGCACCTGCAGCGAGAGGGCCGGAAGCCAAGCTAGCAGAGGAGGAAGCAGCCTGCCCTTGCCCCAGGGCCCCAGGGACTGGGCTGGATTCCCCCAGTGGGCAGTGGGGCATGTGCCCACCCTCAGGGCTGCCTTCTGGGGAGGGCGAGGGCCAAGCAGCGGCCCAGCCAAAGCTGGACTCCTGGAGGACGCAGGGTGGGCCCTCCGGCCTGTTGGGGAGGAGCGGGGCCTTCGGGGCTTTGGGTCTCGTGAGCGATGGAGAACTGGCAACGAAGGCAGCCCTCCCAGGGAAAGCTGAGCCAGATCATGTAAATGGGCATGGAGATGCCCAATAAAATTGTATTGGCATTAAGCGGTGCTCAATTTGTCAATATTTGGGGGGTCCCAGTAAAAGATTTTGGTTCATGTTCTGGATCTTGGTGGTGGTGGTGGTTAGACAAACCTGCATGCATGCTACAGACTGCACCCCGAAAGAAAACAAAGCCACTTTTACTGTGAGATAGTTTAAAAGACACAAACAGCACCTGGCTCAGTTCCCTGCCCTCAGCAAAGATTCCCACCTTTGTTTCCGCTGCCTAAGTCAGACGTGACGACACCTTAACACAGAAAAACAGACCAGGGAGGGCTTCTCTATCACAACCGGGAAGGCAAATGCCCTTGAGGGGGGCGTGTCTGGTGGAGGAGGCAGGCCTCGCTGCTCAAGTGATTCTCTGCCGACAACACTTCAAAGCGTTAGGGAAACTCAGTTATTCAAAGACCTTAAGTTGCTTTTCGGTAAAGCCAAGGCCTCCCTTAACTCAGGTCGGCCCCAAGCAGGGGGAGACCCTGCTGGGGGGAGAAGTGAAGACTCCCCCACCCCCAGCCCGGCTGGCTGCTCCGGGTCCCTGGTGGAGGTAGGAGGACAGAATTAGTGCCACTATGCAAAGCAGCCAGAGAGGAAGGGCTCCAGCTCAGTGGAGGCAGATACCAAAACAAGCCAGTTCCCTGTGGCAGCCCAGACACCAGGGAGGGAGCCGGCCCGGCCCAGGCTGGCTCCAAGTGGGCATCACTGAGTGATGGAGAGGTGGACTGGAAGCCCCAGGGCTGGGTGCCTTAGCCACCTGCCCCACCCCGAGTTCCAGGGGGAAGCTGCTCTCACTGGTCCTCCCGCATGCCCATGCCACATGCCGTTCCTGAGGGCAGGGATTGCTCCTGCCTGAATCCAGAGCATGAATGGCAAAGAAGTGTTTTAGGGTCTCCCCAAGGGCAACAGGAAGTGGTGCGCAGCCTGGCTTTGCACACTGACATTACTCGGTTAATTGCACTCGAGCTCCCAGCTGTGAGCTGCTCCCACTCACTCCAGCAGCTGGCAGCTTGGGGCCCTAATTGGTAGGACCCTAGGGACCATGTTGTGGGGACCTTGTAACCCTACGGGGCTTCTGATGTGATGATTGGAAAATGAAGGGGTCACCTGACCAAGGCCCCCGCAAAATTTGCCACCACAAAGCCTCCCTCTTTAGGAGTCTCTCTTACATGGCTCTGGGTCAAACAACAAAAAAATAA